CTTTCGACAGTTAATCTTTCAATCGGCTGTATCGTACCTTTAAGCAGCTCTGGAATGGGCAGAAACCGGCAAAATCTAAGACACTAGTGCATAATCCCAAATTACGCGGGAGCTCAAAAGTCATCTTTTTACATCAGTACCCCTCATAGGAGCATACCGGGGTCCTACATACACCCTTCCTCCTCCTAGACCATTTGCTAAGAAAATTTGTATCTTCACACAAAAAAAATACAACAAATTCTTTTCTCTTCTTTCTTGTTTTCAAACAACTTCAATGTAAAAAACATTCATCTAGTTTTTTTTTCAACATGATATTATATATTATATGTTTATCAATCTTCATCATCTTATCTTATTATTTTACTTTTGTCCTTCTTCTTCTTCTTCTTCTTCTTTGTTAAGTTTTATACTTTTTAAATATATAAAGAAAATGAAAATGAAAAATAAAACAAAAAGAACAGAAAAAAAAAGATATCACAAGAGATCAACAATCACCAAAAAAAAACAATCACAAACAAAAAAACAATAACAATAACAAAAAAACAACAATAACAAAAAAGAAAAATTCATAAACCAATAAAAATACCCTATTAAAACCTGAATCAGAAATACCTCATCACTATTTATTTCTCCTTTCTCAAATCCAACCTAATCTCAATATTACCTACACCCAAAAGAAACCAATTCACAAAGACCCTTCCTTTTTCAAATCTAATCTCAATCCTCATTCATTCAATCCTAATGAATCAAGAAACCTAATCATCCTAAGATGTTCATCTCTCAATCCTTTCAAATCATTTATAAACTTTTCATTCTTTTGCTGCTTTTCTTGAATCTCTAAACCTCTGACAACTTCAATTCCAACTTCTTCTTCTTCTTGGTCCCCATCTACTTCCTTTCTCATCAAGTTCTCTTCTTTTTCTTTTCCTTTTTCTTTGCCTTTTACAATCTCAATCTCGTCATCATCTCCTTCTTCTTGATTTGAAATTTCATAAACCTTGGCAATCTTCTGTCTTCGTTCACTTTCTATTCCTTCTGATTCTTCTTCGTCTTGATCTATTTCAATCACTACTCTCTTCCTTTTTCCATTTTCGTTTTGTCCAATCCCACCCACTGAAAAAAATACAATCAAAATCAATCAATCAATCAATCCATCCAAAGATCCACTTTAAATCCCAAAACCAATCTCTCATTTTCCATCCAATTCAAAAAATAGAATTCACAACCGATTTAGGTAGTACCAAAGAGAGAGAGAACTAAACACTAACCTATAACCCCAGTAGTCTGATCAGAGGACATTGACATTCTCGAACCACCCAATTCTCCATGATCCCTATCCCTATCCCGATCCCGATCCGATAAATCCAAAGACCCCAACCCATTCGACTTCATCAACCCAACCGATCCCGATCCCAAAACCTGTCTTCTAATCTCTTCTTCAGTACCATAACTCATTCTAGATCGATTCACATTCACATTCACATTCGAATAAGTCCTCGGTCTTGGTTCAGCACTATAGACTACTAAATCAAAATGCGCATATACATCACTTCAGTAAAACCAAACCAATGAAAATCCAATTCGATTCACTCACAATTAGGTACCAAAGACGAACCAGGTGGTTCGATCATCTTCACTGCATACGGATGAGCCGTCACAGTAGAAGACAAATAAGAATTCACCGCAGTAGGAATCGGAAAAGTCATTCTTGAAGAAGGTTTTCCAAATGTGATCGTAGGCGAATGAACTTGTGGTGGTGGTAATGGTGGTGCTTGAGGATGCTGATGGAATTTAGGAGGATGAGGTTGAAGATGTACAAACGTACTAGGACCAGGTGAAGGAATTGATCCTGGTGGTTGTGGACGTGGTGGTAGTTGAACAGGTCCAAACGAACTAGGACCAGGTGATGGAATTGATCTCCGTTGCTGTTGCTGCTGCTGTTGCTGTTGCTGTTGCTGCTGCTGCTGCTGCTGCTGTTGCTGTTGCTGTTGTTGCTGAAATTGCGGTTGTTGAGCAGGTAGAATAGGTGGTGAGTGAAATGGTGCTTGAATACTGTTTGGTCCAGCTCGATGAACTTGTTGATGTGGGTTAGGTGAAAGTAGATGAGCGCCGCTTTGAGCAGACGGTGAGAATTGTAATGGTGGATGTTGTTGAAATTGTTGAAATTGTTGCTGCTGCTGAGGTTGATGTTGATGTTGATGTTGATGTGGATGTGGATGTGGATGTGGATGTGGATGTGGATGTTGATGGTGTTGCAGTTGCGGTTGTGGTTGTTGCTGCTGCTGCTGATGTTGTTGTTGTTGCTGCTGATATTGTTGTTGCTGCTGAAGCCGCCGCTGTTGTTGTTGTCGTTGCATTTGTGCCCGTTCCCATTCGCGCTGCATTTGCATTTGCTGTGGATGCATTTGCTGTGGATGCATTTGCTGTGGTTGTATTTGCTGTGGTGGTTGCTGTTGCCGTTGTTGCATTTGCTGTGCCTTACGTTGCCGGACCAATCGAAAATGAACTAATTGCTGTTCTCTTTCTTGTGGTGTCACATTCGGTCTCATCAACGTTCCTCTGTTCAAATTCTCCAAAAGACAATCAAATTCTTTCATAAGATAGATTCTTCTATCTTGATAATCTCGTTTGATTTGTTCAAATACATTTGGATGTTGATTCAAAAGGTTTTGATAATTTTTCAAAAGGTTGGCTTGATCTATACTATAAAGCCGCTCGAGAATAAAGAGTTGTTCAACCGTTTCAAACGAAAGAAACGGTCTATCCACTTGACCTTCAAAACTTATACAAAACCCACTCACATATTCCAAGAGTTGTTCAACAGTCATAGTGGCTTCATTTGGCTTGTTAGGTCGTCGAATCGAAGAAGGTTGATTCAAAGTCCATAGATTAGACAAAGGGTTTGGAGAAGGTGGTGGAAGCATCTGAGGTGAGGACTGTTTTGATTGAAGAGTCGGACTGAGATGTGACCCAGAAGGTTGAGCCATGTTGGACAAGGCATGCTGGTAATGTGCATATTGCTGTCGGGTTTGTAATACAGCATCGTTGTTGATGTCAGAACGCCTTCTGAGCGGTTGTGTATCCGGTACGTTCACCCTAGGGAATGGATGGGATTGGCCAGGCTGTAGCAATAAAGGTGTAAGGTGAGAAGATTGCAAAGATGTCACGGGAGATGAGGAGTTGAGCTGAAGAGCATATGAAGAGCTAGGCATTTGAGATTGCTGACGACTTTGACTTACCAGAGGTTGATAGGATTGATGGACGGATGAAGTGGATTGGAACGATGAAGCAGCAGCATGGCTACGATCCTGACCATGACCAGATGCCTGGGAGACGGTTGAACTTACAGAGTCGTTAGTTGGATTGAGTGCTGATGAAGAAGTATCGGAACCATCTAACAAGAATAAAGCGCGTTGTAAGTCGGGTTTTTTGGAGCTTGAATCTGATCTAGGGTCTGAAACCTGAGCTAATGATGGGTTGGTAGATTGATCGTCGGATCTTGGTCCAGCAAAAGGTCCGTCATTGTATGCATGTAGGGTAAACGGACTTTGCCTAAAGCTATTGTCTTGAGCTGGGTCTGATCTGATACCAGAAACCACAAGTGATCGGCCGCCTCGGTTTAGATCAGGACTGGTAAGGTCTATCGAGTTTTCCTTGCTCCGTCCATCACAGGTGGGATCACGTGACTCGATCAATGAAACTGACCCAGCTGGCGACTTTGTGGCGGTATCAGGAAGTGGTGCTTTGGAAACCGGGTCCGGCGAAGTTAATGATAGGGAGGCCATGCAGGGTAGTTGTACACTTGAAGGCAGATGGGAAGCCGTGTTCCATGGGATCATGGGGACGTTGGTGCTTAATGGCACGGAAGATGCGCGTCGCTTTAGAGATCCGCTTGATTGAAGGGAAGATTCAAGATTGGGCAGGTGCGCAGAGGGAGGGGGTCGGTTGGGTTCATTGAATACGTTGGACAGACGCGAAGTCGAAACAGATAACGGGGGGTCGGATGACGTGACGCCAGCAGGTATCTGGTCATTGGTCAAAGGTTTTGTGATTCGATTTGAACTTTCTAGAGCTTTAGCAGATTGACCAACCGAGCTAACAGGACGTTCATCTTCATCTTCAGCAGGTGGAATGGCAACAGGCGAGGTCAGGTTGCTTGGGTTCTCGATAGAGTGAGTAGGTGTAGAAGGTAATCGAGCGATGTTGATAGGTTCGAGATCAGAAGCCGGATGATGATCTGAATCCTTTGGTTCCTCTGTTGGATCTGGATTTGAGATGGCTGGAGGTGAGATAGCCCTTATGAAGGGAGTGTGTTCAATCTGTTTACATTGAGCCCATTGAGAATCTCTTTCAGAAGACTCCTGAGCCCAACTATCCGCGTCAAACTCAGGATCATCGGTGAACATTGACAATCGAGCCTTGAGTGAAGGATCATTACAATACAGACGAGCCTTTACTAAAGCCTCTTGTTGGTATTGATCTCTTTCTTGTATGGCGCTAGCTAGGTCATGGAATGGAATGACCATAGCCGGTGTTTGGAATGGTCTCTTCAAGAGTTTGTCTTTATTATATTCCGATCGCTAAAATATCCAATCGATCTCATCAGTCAAGAAGATCCAAAATAGGAAACAAATAACGAAAGACGCGTAAGAAAAGATCAAGTTTAGGCATAGGAATCACACACACCGCGTTTATGAATTGCTCTTGAAAATAAGACCAAGGTCTCTCAAGAGCTTGTCTTGCAAGATGACATCTTCTGATGAGTCCATCAGGAATGGTGATGCGTTTGAGTCTAAGTTGAGTGATGATCGTTTCATGATATTTTAAACCCTTGAAGAGATTGATGAATCGATCAGAGATGATAGGAGGTAATTCCAAGATATCACTATTATTAATGGGTTTTCTTCCTAATCTCGATGGCGACGGAGACCATAATAAAAAGGTTCCAGTGATTTCGAAATCCGATGGTGAAAAGGATTGATTTGAGAAATGAGAACGTTTCAGAGTTAATGCTCGATGTTGGATTGGTGAATGTGTTAAGGAAGATGAATGAGCGGATGGAGCAGGCAAAGCGGTAGGAGAAGTTGAACGGTCCGGAAGTGAGATTGACGCGTCTTTAGTTGAAGATGGATGATGTGAGTTGATTTGATTTGAATTAGAAGTTGAGTCATCTCGAGTCATAGAGTCTTGATGAGTTCGAATTGAAGTTTTGATCAAAGCTGTTGATTGAAGGATTAGTATGAGTCTTGATGATTGATTGATTGAAAACTTACATGGACTAGGTTCACCTCTTTGAACAGCAGCTGATCGACGACGATTGACACCCTTGGTGATAGATTTCCAAATCTGTTTAAGATCACCTGATTTGTTTCGGATTAGAAGACTGATGAAAAGGAAAGAAATGAAATGAATGAATTGGTTAAATGGTTTTTTAAAGAAAACTTTGAAAATTTTAAAAAACTTGAAATCAATTGAATTGAATGAGACTAGTAGTCTAGTAGAGTCTGAATCTTGATACATTTCAACTCACGCATACGCAATTCCATGTTCATTCGGATCATCTGGATTTCCTAATAACCAAATCCGTTCAGCTTGCCAATCAGCATCAATCTCACATTGATGTTCGATCTTAGAAATCAATTCTACTAAGATCTCAGCTTGTTTTTCGTTTAATGGTTTCTTATTTTTCTTGGAACCACGATAAACTGCATAAGATGATAGCAAAGTATCAGAAGTTGAACTGATGATGATGGTACTTGAATCTGGGTTTGAGATTATTGGATTTGTAGAGTTAGTTTGATTGGTTTGATTCATTTGTGAATTAGGTAATTAAGAAAAGATGAACAAATGAAACAAGTTGAGAAGAATGATTAAAATCAGAAGTGGATGATCAGAAAATGGTAAAATATAATCAAAATTTAAAACTAGTGCTCAGTTTCATAATGAGTCAAGGGATGAACAGACAGACAGACAGAGACACAGAGAGAAGGAGAAGGAGAGAGACCCATTTTATAGATAGTGCTAATACACTATTGACTCAAGTTCAAGTCATCAACAATCTTCCATTTTACCTTTCTTATCATCAGCTCACTCATCAGCTCATCAACTCATTCATATCAACACAAATTCACATGATTTTAATTAACAAAATACATCATCTCAAACTCTTCCCCACCTCTCACTCTCAAGACTACAGACTCAGCTCGATAGAACTTACTTATATCTTCTTAAAGAAAAACAAAGAAAACTATGAATCTATGTATCCAGTCCTTTGTTATTCACATAAATTACATACACAAACCCACTTGAATCCAAACTTCATATATCTTGGATTCATATTTAAATGGTATGGGCCATGGTATCTCAACACCATTATTCTGAATTGCATAGAAATTATAGATCTCTTGGTTCAACAGTCTAAAACCAATTCAATATATCTAGACATTCCCAAATTACATGGTGGATTCTATTATGTCCACATCTGAAATTAAACTGAACTATTCAAAGGAATCTCACTAGCCAAAAACAAAAGGAACTTTCAAGAAAATCTTCATTGAAAGGTTTCCTCTTAGATGATCATAGTGAGACATTTCCCACCCATTCAATCATAAAACATCAGCTGATCAACTCATACATACAGATCAATTCAATTCACATCAGATTCATAACTACACCAGGGGGTAACTTTTTGTCGGAATACGAGCGAGAAAGAGGTCGTGTCGAGATCTGGCCGAACGCTGGGATTTCGACCAGAAATCAGCTGGTAAGCCGGCTGGTTGGTCTGGCAAGAGATCGACCAGCTTTTTGGCGAGCAGAAGACGGTAAGAGGGAGTGTCTTCAAGGAACGTGAAACCGGAGGCTGTGCAATTAAAGTTCCTTAATCACATTTGCCTCCATTGCCGTGGTTCTAGCCACCCCTTTTTTATTTTGACAACACGAGAGCTCCTAGAATCCATTCTTTGGTCTAGGAGCTCCTTGCCATGTTGTTCTATCTGAATCCCTCAACCCACATGGGGTGGATGGCATGGCTGAGGGAAGGAACAATCAGGTTTGCTGATCGGCTCCCTCATGATCGGCGGTGTACAAACTTTACTCGGAGACGGTCTTTAGGCCGCCATCTGGCCCATCTAACGGAGGTCTGGCAATCTCGCCTTTTTCTCGCCGCGCCACTGACCATCTGGCAGCGGTTCTCCACTACCAAGCATTTCTCGCCTTCAGATGGTATTCCATGACCGCCATCCGATGGTACAAATTACCCCGTGGTGTACACCACAGGGCAATTGTGCTCGCCGTTTGACGGTCAGAAAAGACCGCCAAAAGCCCAGATTTCCTTGGTGGTGGCCGGCCGCCAAAATCTGGCCAGTGGAACGGCGGTCTTTTGGCTGGGCTTTGCTGGCGGCCGGCATCTGGGCAAACGGCGGCCTGTAGACGGGCTTCGATCATCGGAAGCGGCCGCTGATCATGTGAAGAGAGATCGAGCTCATCTCTCTTCACCTTCTCATGCCTCCACCCAGTGCTTACCTCCTCGACTCTTGTGGATGGGGGTGTTGTGCTGATCAAGGGTTGAGGGCCTCCCAGACCATGAATTCGATTCTGGGAGCTTTCCCGTTGTCTAATCACAAAAACTGTGGCTAGAACACCTTCTATCGACAAGATCACAAAAACGGGTTTTTTGTTTCACAGCATCAAATCTGACCGTCGTATCAGACGGCCGTTTGTCCAGCTTTTGACGGGCATAATGCTCATCAATATACCGCCAGATCGATCAGCTAAAGACCAGCTTTTTTCTGGCCAAAAACTGAGGTTTTGGCCAGAAAACAGCCGGTCTCATCCGACCGTCAAGATCTGACCAAAACCTGAGATTTTGGCCAGCGTTTGACCGGTTTTTGGACACGACCACTTTTGAGCTCAGCTTTTGGCTCAACAATTGCCCCGTGGTGTATAGATTGTACAATAAGATTCCCAGAAGAATCATTCATTCATTCAGTTCTTAAAACAAAGAATCCTTCTTCTTTTCACACGCATAGTACAAAAACTCAGAATCTCTCACGGGTCCTTTGAAACAGGTTTGATATTCCTGAAACACAAATCCAAAGAAACTCAAGTTCATCCTATACATATATGGTTCCTTTAATGCTCAGACATCTCTCACATAGAAACCCACCAATGGGACCAACTTCCACCCCAAACACACATTCAATTCAGAATTCTCAACAAATGAAAAAGAAAACCTTCTAGTTTCATTCTTGTCTCACACCATACGAGTTATGTTTGAGTTAAAAAGGTCTTTCAAGCAAACCAGATCTCTAAATCCCTTTGAAGAAGAAAAAAACTAACCAAGGTTTTTTTCACCATCAGATTCCATTCCCAGATCCTTTTCAAACGTTTAACTTTCACATCAGAGCTATGTATACAACCAGAAGAATGCATGGTGGGACTTACACAGCCTAAATTCAAAAGTGGGGATTCAAATTCTCCACCTTGCATGTGATACTGAATCTAATTAAGAGGCTCTTGGAATTCAATGAATCCATTTTTAAACAAATTTAATTTATTATGTATTGTACAACACTCTACATACCCAATCACTTCAACTCATGAGGTCCAAGTATGAACCCCTAAAAGTGAGTTCAAACTTCACATTCTTATTTTCCAATCTCTGAGCATTGATCTTTTGAGGCACCTAATTGTAAGAGTTCCCCAAAAAAGTTTGAATCTTCTCATCTTAATTCATTCATCTTCCTTGATGTAGTAGGTACCAGGGCTTCTTGAGATCGTGTGAAACCCCCAATACAGTTCATCAAAGGATATCCAAGTAGATTTTCATTTTTGTTTCAATTGATTTGATTCAATATGTAACAGTAAACCCAGAAGATCTCTTCCCTAAGATGATCTCCTGCACAAATGTTTCACATTGTCACAAGTTTGATGTGTGTGTGCATGTGTGTGTGAGGTTTTGAATAAACATCAATTCACATACATACACTGTTCAAGATCAGTTCTTATTTATCATAAACAGATTAAACAAAACACCAGATTGATTTGCTTAACACTTTCAAGAATTATCTCATGTACCAAGTGCGATTTGTAAGTCTTCAAGGTGGACATCATATGTAGAAGGACAGTGTTGTTCGTCTTATAATCATGAGGAAAAAATCAAGCTTCTGATTTCAAAGAGCAGTTAAAACTTTTAAAGACATTCATTTCCTTTTTTGAAAAAAAAAACCTTCGAAACGACCCCCCCAAAAAAAAACCAAAAACACTTGTGCTTCACTTTACGTAATACTTATGTTCTTTATAAAAATGTGAAAAAAAACCATCAACTTTGGGTTAAAAAACATATACATATATATCGATTTTGATTTTTTTGATTTTGATGTTTTACCAATCTGTAATAGGTTCTTCAATTTCACCAAACAAACTTTCTTTTTTCACTTGATTAGATTGATTTAATTGATCTTCATGAAGTTCTTGTTCATAAATTTCACTTAATCTTTCATGTAAATGTGAAAGTACATGACGATTGATTTGTTCAAATTCTGAATCAAGAAGAAGAAGAAAAAAACCCACACACACAGAGAGAAGATTAATTCCGAGATTCGGTTCTGTGTTGGGTACAGAAAGAAAAGACTAACCAAGTAAGAATCCATCATGACCATCTTGACTTTCAACAACTACTAATCTAGCATTAGGCATAGCTTTGACCATCTCACGTTGTTCACTTAACATAAACAATCCATCCGAATCGATCGCGACCACCAAAGTTCCTTCAGGTATTTGTTCTAATCCACCGGTCTGTTCAATTAAGTTTTCTCGACCGAAATCGACATCATGGCTATCCATCTTTCTAGTTAAATGAATATAACAATTAGCATCAAATCGATTGACGAATTTGGTTCCTTGGTATCTTAAATAAGATTGAGCTGAAAATGTACAAGAGCTTTGATTGAGAACCTTTTGGTTGAGTGTTTGAGTTGGTTTATCAAGTTCGGTTTGTGATGGGGATCGATGTCCATCATTATGAGCTGCAACTGCTTTAAGGGTAGCTAATTTGATTTGATCATCATCATCTTGATTGGTTAAAGTTGGACTCGAATTCATTTGACGTCGACCGAATCTAGTTTCAAAACTATCTCTAGATCTATAAGTCAGTAAGGCAGCCATCCTAGCAGCCGCTAAACCGGTGACCGGACCATCCTTTTGATCATAATAACCATCTTGATATTTCGGATCGGAATAAATCGATTGTCTTTGAGCTTCTCCCCAACTGATACCCCAAGCCGAATGACGAGCACAGGTAGCTATCGGGACTATGTTACGAACATAACCTTTAGGTGTCATCAGAGGCCATTCGAGACATTGCATTCCTCCCATACTACCACCGATGACGACTGCAATCGATTGAACACCTAAATGATCTAAAATCAATTTCTGAAGTCGAACATCATCACGTGGAGAAGTCGAAGGAAATTCAGGACCCCAACGCATCCCGCTCAGAGGATTGATGGTCACAGGTGAAGCGGTTCCATAAGGTGAACCCAAGACGTTGGCACAAAAGATAAAGTATCGAGTCGGATCAAACGCAAGACCTGCACCCATCAAAGGTCCCCACCAATCTTCTACATCAGCTGAACCTGTTAAGGCATGACAGATGATCATACAATTTGATTTAGTTTCATTTAATTTTCCCCAGGTTTGGTATGCTACTGGCACCTCTTTTAAGATGAGACCAGAGACTAATTGAAATTCAGAGAGTACTGCTATGGTTTGATTGGGTATTAAATGTGAAAATGGTGTTGTTGGTGGTGGATCTGGATAAGAGACTGATTCGAATTGAGAAAAGAAAGGCAGCCGATTAATGTTAGTGATCGAATCCAAAATTGATGATTCAGAGAAATGGAGATAAGAAATGGAGATAATCACTCTGAATTGGGTTTTGATCATGTTCTTGTTTAAGTTCTGAAAGCATCACAAACGTTCAAAAGGTTTATCTCTCGATTGATAAAAGATGATCCAAGATTAATAAGTTGAATGAATTTGATTTGATTTGATGGATTTGATGAGAATGATTTGATATCTTTAATGGGTTTAAGTTGCCGTTTTCCGGAGTAGTTTGATTGACTACTTCCCAGCGTAGGCGGCGCTGTTGAACTGAAATTAGGTGTTGAGATGAAATGTTGATTGTTTAAGCTGAACAAAGAAAGAAACAAAGAAATCGGAAGTTTCAAAAACTCTTCTCCGATCTGAAACTCATTTAAACCTAATCATCCCTGACACTTCTGTGACATACATTCATGGACATATCACATACAATTCTCAGCTCAAGTTCATGAAATATCATGTCAGTCCAAATTTATTTGCTTATTGATCCGATTCCAAACTTCCTTTGAGCATGTTCCAGTGGCAAATCGTCATACAAGATGACTGAAAAGCCCGTCTTTGCTCATGATCTCGTACCACAGATATAAAGATTATAAAATAAAAATCCCATTGAGAGTGGATTTGTTAAGTTTAGTTCAACAGTAAGATTTTGGCAAACCAATACCGATTACTCTTGATATCCAATCTTATAGTGAATTCGATTCATTTTATAGATCAACACACGATTCGAATGCAAGAGCGTGCGCCTCTCAGTGAGTATCAATACGGCAGCAGTCTTAATAGTCAGTATTTCAATCTTGATTCATCTATGGTTGATCAAAGTGTCTTATTTGAGCCATCATGATTTGTTTCAATGTTTTACTGTTTCTAAACTGAACTATTCTTTGGTCAGTGAAGATTTCATTATCAATTTGAAAAAACACAATACGACTTGACTGAAAAGAGTTGAGGTTATTTCAGAATGTACGGATTGCCAAGATTGATGAATCATAGGAAAAAAGCCTCAGTGCTTGGGTATATTGCAGTACCCTGTGAAGAATCAAAGATATGAATATCTTGGAGAGTCATGTTGTAAGGTTATGATGGAACAAGATGTGTTTGAAGAACGGATCGGAGCGTGTATGAGATCATTGGTCAGCAATCAAGGTAAAGAAGTCCCCTCTGGCAAAAAACAAGGGACCTCGCGAGAGGGTCACAAGGTCACTATCAATCGTCGTATTTTGGTATGAGGACCTGTGAGGACTCAAAAAACGCGACCCCACTTGTTTTTTCTGAGAGATCATTGGATATCCTGAACGTCAGGCCTCAGCAAAAGTCAGCATGCTTAGTTTTGGGAAAGACGCTAGAATTCCAATTCATTCCCGTCTCGGATGTATCCAAGGGTCCTGCTGTAAATCTCACTTCATGTCTTCAGCCAAGACTATAGGATTGCGCCACCGCTGGCAGTGTTCGTTCTCAGAAGCGCCACCAATGACAACAGCTCAGAAATCAGAAGCTTTCCTGAATTCTGACCCTGTGGCTTGTGTGTCCGATGTTTTCCCAGAGGACTTCCGATCAAGTTTTCCCTCTCCTTTGAGCAAGATCAAGGACTGAGATCTTTTCTTCTTGCTTCATACCCCATCACCCACTTCCTCATCTTACTCATTTTTGATTATCGCGAGTTGATAGACCTCAATTGACATTCTTCTTGCTCTCATACTACAATCACAATGCTTCACGCCTTTCTAAAGATCTCCCTTCTACTTTTTTCACTGTTGATTACTGATGTTATAGGAGACTCATTATCGAACGTTCTTCCGTGTTCAATCAAGTTTGAAGTAAAGGGAGATAAAGCAGGTATGTGAACTCGATATAAATCGTCAATCCTATAGCACTTCAGCATAATCTGAACTCACAGCTGATTCGGATCACATCTTTGATCGACGTATAGTATGCACGGGAAGCGGTATTGTGTATGACTGCCCATTAAAAGCTTGCTGGTGGCAGAGTAAGCAGACGAGAAACCAATCTTGATTACCTTGAATGCGTACAGTAGAACTGATCACGAGCTGGAATATAATTTATCATGTAACCATCTTACGTAGATCATCAATACGTTCATATGACTGGATGTCAGCTCGAAAAAGGTCCCCCCGGCATAAGTGGTCAAGATTGTGCTCAATATGAATGGATACACCCGGACCCGAATGTTCCTTATTATTTCAGTCAGTACTTCCAATGGCTTGACTAGCTTGTAAAAAGTATTCAAGATTGATTTGTTTTTCCAATCTATGAATCCAAAATTTTCAGAGTGTACCAATCCTGCTGGTTATCATTATAAATGTCCCTTTGATGGCAATATTGCTAAATCCATGGGTCAGTTCAGATTTCTTTATCCATTTCAAAACAATCGATTAACTGACAAGAGTTGATTTCCTTTCAGGCTGTACCGCGACTGCCTGCAAGACGAGATGAAGAATAGAAAATAAAATCAACTTTTTAGAAGGGGTTTTGTATCTCACTTGTTGGTCAAAATCTTTTCAATCTGATTTTCTTGGGATGAGATGAGCTTTCAAATAAATGCAGATTGTGATGTCTCCCGCCTCTGTATCCTGTTAGAAACACAATCCAATCTGAACCCAATGAGGATGTGTTTTCAATCTTGATGTGAACTATTAAAACCTTGAATGAGAAAACATTATACGTATAACTGCGCGTTAAAATCTTGCTGTTTCAACCGTTAAGACGTTGGCAAATTGACATTGATTACCCTTGACATTCAATGTTATAGTAAAGCTGATTTTCTGGTGTCATATCTACACAATCCATCTAAGATAAACACACTATTACATTGCAAGGCTGTGTGTCCCAGAGTAGCCTCAATGGCACCTCCACTGGTCAACAATGTAGTTAGTCAGGACAATATTATTTTCTCGTTTCAAACCCATCAACGCAAAATATTCAGTTTGTACCAAGGATTGTCATCAAGAATATATATGTGCTACTCTTGATAAATGCAAGGATTCCTTGGGACAGTCAAGATTGCAATCAAAGTTGACTGGTCAGTGTTGGTTTCCTTTCAGAATGTATGGATTGCCAAGAGTGATACACCATATACAATTGAATCACTTGTAGTTCATGTGATACAGCCTATTGCATCACTGGTGAGAGCAATGTTAAATCACATGTAGTTTGGATCAAGTACTGGCTCATCTTGTGATTTCTGATCACTTATCAATTAGATGGAATTCAGCTATCTGACATAACATCACATGAAAAGTTGATTTGCTCAAAAGACATGAAACATAAAGTCACATCACTATTATATCACATTATAAAAATCCTATCCTTTATTGCATTTTCAAATCCTTTTTGTCAGTGCATACCAAAATGTGATGTAAAATTGTTGGTTGTGCTGACACGGTGCCTGATAGGTAGTCTTCAATAGTAGAAGGAGAGACAGGACAGCTCATACAAGGATTGATCCAACAACAAGAAGAGAAAATGGACAACACAAGAGTTGCTTCAAAAGGGATAGGGACAAACACCTCAGAGCGACAAAAATCAAGAAAAGAAATTAGAGTGCAGCATTATTTTGCTTTGGTAGAGGAGGCCAGAGGTTGGTTGACATTTTCCCTTGCAATAGCAAGTAAAGGGTCATTTTTGGAAGGGGAAGACATTTCATAGGCAAGCAGTATCAAAACTTCCATTAGGTAGGATGGCGAAAGTATCAAGATGAAGAGTGGAGGCGCGTTCTATGAGATTGCAGACTTTGCTGGACCCACCACCTGACAGAGTGTCTGCAAAAACGTTCTTCACACATGCCAAGTGGCAAACACAAACATCTACACTGGCATCAAGGATCAGGGTATGAGCAATGTTGGGCCAGTGCATTGCTTTGACTGAGAAACGCACAGCAAAGGCAAGCAACAGTGAGACACCAGCAACGCAACGGAACACAACGAGTCAGGCTGTTGCTTGGTGTGTTGCTGGTACAGGTCCAGGATTACAGGTGGTTGTGTTGTGGTTCTCAACCCATTGTGAGCAATGCAACCCCACAACGGGCAAACAGGCATGGCCCCGGCACAGGCACAGGGATATCTCAGATACCCCTGGACCCTCCCTGCTTCTACAAGCAATTTCCATCAGACTTTGCTAGATCCCTCACACGCATGACCCACAACGCTAAGCAACCAAGCAACGGTTTGTGTTGCACGCACGGCTGTTGCCTTTGCCTGTTGCGTTGTGGGACTATAGTATTGGTATTTAACCGTTGCAGGCAACGCATTGCAGTGGCCCATTGTTGTTATGAGGATGGAGAACAGGGCTCAAACCTTCTCAACCCTGCCAAGAGATCAGAAAAGGCCACAAACATTCAAAAAATCAGAGCAGGTTAAAATTTTCTTTACATTACATTCTATCCTAATGAGGATAGTGTTCAGGGTATTTGACCAAACAATCCAGCTTGATACATATTGAAAACCACCATACTGTTCCAGTATTGTTGGGTTAGCCCCCACATAATGAGATTCACAAGGCACTCTGGTTAGCATTAAGGTTGAAGAATTCAGCATGTCAAACAAAATGGGTGCATTTGATTATCACAAGAAACAAGAGGCCATTTTCCTCTGGGAAAACTAATTGTATTCAACTCAGTTGATGAGCCAAAATGTATTATCTTGGCATCATTTCTGTGTTATTTCCGCATTTTAGCTAAGAAACTACACTGAATGTGATTAATGGTCTTCCCACAGGAAAATGTTTGTTGGTTCATGTGTATGCCAGCATATGTAATGGTATCAGGTCACCTGTTGCGGGTGTGCCCATGTGGTCTCTAGTGTAAAGAATTCAAAAATATAGGTAAAATCAAGTTGGAGATGGTTTTTAGGGTACAAAAAGAAAGTTCAAGAGTCAATAAGCTTGATTGGTAACAGGGAATAGTCACATTAGTTGATAAGAAATTTTATCAGAAGAGTTGATTAGTGAGAAGTGAAATACTGAAGGAAAGAAAAACTTACAAAAAGTGGTCAAAGGGGGTATCACTGGTAGACCTGAATACATAATAGTGTGATTAATAGGAGGTGATGGAGGCCAAGAGTTTTTAGAAAGATTTTCAAGGTCATTCATAAGAAGAAAAGAATTTATAATGCTGTGAATGAAGAGAATGGAAAGAGAAATATTTATAAGATGAGAAATGAATTAAAAGCATAGCAAGATTTGTAAAAGAGGTTTTTGAAGGTTTTTGTCAAAAATGATTGGTTTTTGAGGCTGTTGACCATTTTTAAAGATTGTGATGAATGTTGTATACTACCAGGTGGAGGAATTTGTTGTTGTTCCCATTCCTTCTTCATCATTTACAACCTTGTTGTTTTTTAACATAACAAACTAATTTCAATGATACCTGGTCACTCAAATATGCCCTTCATCACAAATATAAAGAAGGAATTTATTTTAGTAGTGAAGTTTTGTGACTTATTTTGGGAACAATATCAAAAAGATATTGTGCTTTCTTCTTTGTTATCTGACTGGAATAACACTAACAGTGTTGAGAAATAAATAAATTGGGCCGTCTTCACTTTCAAAGCTTGTGCATTTTTGGTCCTTTTCAAAAATCAAAATACTTTTCACTTGTTCTTCATCAGTACTCAATTCAACAGAAATTCCTTTCTGGCTGTCTTGATTTGGAAGGGCAGTCCTTAGAAACTGTGTACTAGTCATTTAGGGGATACAAAGTAGAATCCGGGCGCGTGCCCGGATTTCTTTTGGCAGTAAATTTTGATTTTCTGGGCACAAGTCCGGGCCCAGAATTCAAATTTACTGCCAAAAAAAATCTGGGCACACGCCCGGGCACGTGCCCGGATTCTACTTTGTATCCTCTAATTGATCCCCTTCTAGCTCTGTATAACCCTTGTTGAGTTATAAGTTCTTCACCAGTCAATTTGAAACATGTCAGTGTCACAGACTATTTTCCATGACTGCCATGCTAGATCCACTACTAAGATGTGATAGGCATTCTGGAAGTTCTGAACTTCCAACTTCCATAGAACCAGGAGAACACCTTGCTTTTTCCTACAGTAAAATTTAATGCAGTTGTTCTTGTCCTTTTATTTGTGTTCACCGTACATAAAACCTCAATGAACTGGTACTACATATTGAATCAAAATCCATTTGTAAATCAAAGGTGTCCAATAACTTGACTGCCACACCTGAAATTCCTGGTCATTGTCATAGATAGGTTCAGACCATAGGTCTTCAAACCAACTCACGCACAAGCAATTGTTTTTGATCAAACCACTCTTTGTCCCGCCTCAAAATGCCAGCGCTTGACTAACATAGCTCAGGCACTCTCTGCAGACATTTAGAAAGGTTTGACCTCACAGCTGAGCCCACCTGAAGGGAGTATCAGAATAAGAAGATCCCAAGTCAGGTTCAATCACACAGGATGTTGATCTGATGAATGATTAATCAGAGAAGATCAGTTGTTCATGCAAAATAACATGTGATGATGCTGGTAGGATTGAAGGGAAGAGGAAAGATCACAGGTTTCCAAAGAATCACAAGATGGCTGCAAATTCTGAAGGAAAGACTAGTAAGCTACTAGTAGAGATAATAATTCTCAGTGACCAATAAGAGCTAGGGCAAACCTGCTCAAAGTGATGGAAGAGAAAAGAAGGAATGCAATCAGGTAAGGCAACTCTCTTTATATACCAGAGACATCACAGATACCAGCTCACAGCACACACAGCAAATGATGTCATGATTAGTAATAATGATATCATAACATATAAGACAAGAAAAGAATATGAAAGGATTAAATATAAGATTAGATAACCCAATACTCTCTGCGAGGACCGCATTGGTAGACCCCGATACCTTTTGAGCTGGTGCATCAGAATCAGATCAACTCACAAAACGCAGGCAGAGCAGTGGTTCCATCCTTTGGCTTGTTTAGGGTCCGTTCGGCTGCACATCTGGAGACCATCTGACCGTCATCTGTCACCAAAAATCAGGATGACAATCTCTTTGCCCGACCCCGACTGGGCAGAAGGTCAAGCTGGATGTCAGATGAGATGGCGCAGCCGAACGGATCCTTATCTTCTTCATTTCTTTTCTCAACACATCAAAGATTTCTTCATCACCACAATGATCCCAAGATCTGCCAGCGCTATAATTGAACAACATCGCCAAATCACTCTCATAACTCCACATTCATCTTGGTTAACAATTCAAAGTCGTTATAACATCAATGCAAAATATGAAGCTTTTCTAACAGCGCTGCCACTCCAGATTATGGGATTCAAATACGAACCGAACCCGTTCAATCACATTTCAATCGTTTTGGGGTTCTAATCTATACAATTTGCATGTTGGAAGTCATAATCAACTTGATTGGTGTTAGTTTTGGTCTACTTAATCCTAATCAAAAGCACCTCATATAGATGTCATTCAAGCGTTCAAACTCGAACTCAATCAATCACGCCCAATGTATCTTGATTTAGAACAAGTAATAGAACACAATAAATCAGGTCAAGAGCCATCAAAGAAGAGTTAAATTTAAATCCAGTTTTCAATTGTATGTACATCTCACTTCCCCTCAATCTTCTTCAGTTCATCATGATTTCTTCCTCGATATCTTAATCTACCTTGATAAAGAGATTAATCCAGCATTGCCCAGATCTACATCAGTCACAACCCAACACATCACCTCTCTGCTCATGTCACCAAAAAAGCCCCGACCGTCACCGCCCGACATAGCTCAGTTGGAAGAGCATGAGACTGTAATGGAACAAAATCGACATCATCTCTTTGTGAGAAGGTGTCTGCCCTCATCTCAGGGTCGCTGGTTCGAACCCGGCTGTTGGGAGCGTGTGTCCTTTTTTGCGTTCCAAAGGCTCACCTTCAGTTTGGAATGAATGAAAGTAACTCGATGATGAGACGACGAAGTTGGAGGTGTTGTGAAATTATATCTTTTGGCCAAAGGGAATATCCAAGGAAAAATCAAGGTCAAGATTGATAAATGTGGTACACAAATATCGTTCTGGAAATTTCCAGAACACTTTTTCCAGAACGCCAGAAGGTTTTTTTTTTGGTGTGTTCTGGCGTTCTGGCGTTCTGGAACTTTGAATGCCCCAAACTCCAGAATGCCCAACACCTGAGTACTGAACCCAACCACACATCCGCTAGCACACACCTCATACCACGCACATCAAACACCCTCCCACATCACTTTTCTCAACTCTCAGCACTTCTCGGTCTTGCATTTCAATTTAACTCTGCCTTTCCTCCTGCAATGGTTCGAAAAAGCCGACGTCGACTTCTGAAACGGTCTATTCACTTGGCAATTCACAAGAAGAATCAGTCACAAACAGACCTTTTAACTTTAGCTTTCCAGAAAAAGAGGAATTCTGAAAGCCTTTTCATCCTTCGGTGTCTTCAAGCAATCATCGTTCAGCAAAACTTACAATCCGAGGCCGTTTTAGATGATGAGCATGATCCCGATGATCGATTTGAGGCTAGGAAGCCACTGTACCTGTTTTTGCTGGCCGCGCTGGAATACCACTTGGCCAGTGCACAGTCTGTTAAGCTTGTGCTACTCGGTCGTCGTCTACGTCAAATCAATCAAAACGGACTCGATCGGCTTGAAGAGGCTCTAAAAATTTTAAATTCATTGGTTGGCTGGAGGTGGGAGTATGGTCGTCGATCACTTGATCCATGTTTGTTAGGCGGGGTATGTGGGGAAGCTGCAGCAGGCTGCAGCAGAGAGTTTATGTTGAATTTGTGTTTTTTCCAGAACACCAGAAGGCTTCCCGAAGGGTTCTGGCGTTCTGGAAAAAACCTTCTGGAAATTTCCAGAACGATATTTGTGTACCGTAAAAGATGACTTGAGAATCAATGGGTTCAAGTTCGGCAAAGGTTTCAAAATCAAAGTCTCATATGTGTAACTTGGAAGTTGGAACATTTGATGTTTTTGAAGAAAGCCTTTACGTGTGATTGATCACAAGTCATTTGATGTCGATTTTCAAAACCACACGCGATCACACGCGATCCTCAATATAAACCACGTCAAAGAAAGTGGGGATCCATGTGGGGGGAATCAGGAATCCAAGGAGACGGGCAAAATAATTCAAGAAGTTATCAGAAGATTTGATTCTTGTTACCATTCGGGTTTTACACCTATCAACTGTGGCTTTCGGAGGAAATGATTGATCGATTGATTGAAAATGGCATTTCAATTCTAAAGTGATGATTGTAAAAGAATTAAAAGGATGACTTCCTTTAGTTCCTCACTAAAAAATTTTAAAGTTCTAAACTAATTACACCTTTCTCATTACACCTTCCTCTTTCGCGTCAATAATAGTACTTTTTCGTCAATTGCTAGACAATTGGGATTTGAAACCCTTTGAATTTAAAAGACGATGATAAGAAAACCTAAAAAGCTTTTAATAATTTTAATAATCTGTTTAATTTCTAAATCATATCAAAAATCAAAACTAAGATCGAATTCAGAAATCTTAAATCAATATCAAATAAATCCAAATGTACCAGCAACACCTCAATCAGTTTTAAATTTATTAAAAAAAATTAATCATCAAGGAGTTTTAACTTTTCCAAAGAACATTTTAAATATCTTTCAAAGGATTAATGAAGGTTATCAACTTTTAGATGAAGAAATTAAATTACTTAAACTTTGTAGAATTACTGCTGCTCGTCAAAATGGTCAAATTAAAAATTTACATGATAATACTTTCTTAGGTTTTTTAAGATTTGATACGTGAGTGAAAAGGTTTTCATGATTTATTCTTTTCTTGATATAATTCGAAAAAAATACGTGGAAAAGTGATCAGATCATTGATTTTTTGTGATTTGTCTTTGTGATTCAAAATGAGATGATCGATAATAGGAATAAGTTGAGTTTCAGAGGATGTGGAACTGTACTTGGTATGAAAGGTGATGCTCTTCCATTTTCAAAAGCTATTGCGACCACAGTAGTAAGTCCAATATTTCTCATTCAATTCAACGCTTTTGGTCGGCTCATTCTGAAAACTGATGTTCTTCTGAACAAATCGTTCTGGGTAGATTGAGATTGACCACTTAGGTGGCCCAAATGCTACATTTGAAGCATTTCCTATACTCGAATTACTTACGGTTGATCAATTAACAACACAAGAGTTAAGATTCTTCAACTTTGATAATTTTACTGCCACTCATCATCAACATCAATCAAATGCAACTCAGAACTTGACTCAAATTGATAATTCAAATCACACTGGAACTGAAACTACTCTTCCAACGGATGATAAACAATCAAATTCTCATGATTTGATTCGTTCTTAATCATAATTTATTTCAATCCTCTTCGAAAGAGTCATATATTTGATCTCAACTGTGAATATTTTCTTGTGTTGGTACAATTTGTGAAAACCGTTTCTTGATGTAAATATTTTTATAAACAATTTTCTCATCATAATTTGCTTTCTATATTGTAATTCATTTCTTGAACACTTTTCTTCGGAGAAGGTTGATAAAAGAGAGAGATTTTTAGGATTGGTGGAACTAGGGTTTCAGTAGTGAGTGCATCCAGATCAGCTGCTTTCGTCTTGGGCAAGAGGATGCACTCGAGCTGCTCTTTGATGATCACAGTTTGAGCATCGGCACACAGTCATCCCTGCAGTACGTTGACGTTCCATCTCTTCTAGATAGCCGGGGCCAGTCAATGACATTGGGATATATCGATGTCTGTAAAGATCGAAATCGGTCTTCTTTAGCGCTCGCTGTCGATGATTGCTATCAAGGACTCGCGCAATATCAATATCCATATAGTAAACCGCTCTGAGGCAACATGCTGTGAGACGAAATGCAGGCATGCGTTCTTCATCATTCATTGTGCTCGACACCACAACTTCACTGGCGGTGTTGGGACTGTTTGGCATGTTGGGTTGAACAAAGTGAATAACTAGGCGGCAATCAATATTGCGTCCAGCTCGTCCACCAATCAAGTCAGGTATCGAAGGATCCATGGAAGCCACTATAATCACAATCTTAATGAGTTTTGAAGTTTTGTCATTGAAAACTTTCCTTCTACGCCAAACTCTCTTGCTCGTTCTGCTTTATCTTCTTTATCAGTTGAAGAACGATATCGTCGGATATATACAAGCACTGATTTCTTGATATCATCAGGATTACCTCTGGCTTTGCAAACCGCTCTCATCACCTCCAATGTGCGATCTCTAGTTCCTGAGTAAATCAACATTCGAGGTGATTTTTTATCTGAGACCGACGTTTCAGTTGGGATGATGCTGAGTAAATCCTCGGCGGTCTCGAGGGGTTCAGACATAGAAACTCGATTGTAACGAAGCTCTGGGCGAATTGTCTCGCCTGTCTACATTTTGTAGTGAATTGGAAGCATGTCAAGACTATCAAGGATTGAAATAATTGACTCAGATCTACAGATTGCCGACATGAGCAATAATGGATTGACTTCAGCTCTTCAAAAAGCTCATAATGATGTGTTGGTCTAAAGATTTCCACATCTTCAGGAGTGACATAAACAGAGAAGTTCTTCAATTCCCTGTCTTTCTTCGTAGCCCAAAGACAAAGCCAGTACTAGTAGGCTACGTCGACCACTCTGAAAGCTAGGTGACGTCGAAACTCGGCGCTATGGTACAAATCAAGGAAATTTTAATCATTTAAAAACTCTCTGGGCTCCTTCCACAAAAGAATCGCCACCAAATTGGATCACTTTGATTCTCCTGAGCTTATTTTTTAAAAAAGACATTGTACGACATTAGATGAATGAATACTATGATTATTCTAATGAAGAACATACCTTTTGATCCTTTGAAGCTGGAAAAGTGCTCATTTAACACGATTTGGATGATCGAACCAATCAAGGATATGATCACATATATTACTTTAGTAGTGCATAAGTAAACCATTCTCTGCTCTTCTTCCCATCTTGAAGTTGAACCTCATCAATCGAATCTAAAAACCAAAATAATTCCTTGATTTCATTCAACTTCATTATAATAAACTGAAGAGACGTAAGAAATCAGGATTTGATTAGTCTAAAATTAGCTCCCCAAAAATAGAAAAGAGAAAACTTGAATCCAATTATTCAACCAATTCCACGACCTTGGAGAAGACAATGATGGATGTGACCATCTTAGACTTAAGGATATTCTACATCTCCTTACCGTTAGAATTCCGACATACATACATCTGGTTTGTAAATCAGTAGAAATCAGTTTTCTGATTTGTTATTTCAGGGTCAAACTGTTATGAAAATCTTTCAAGAATGAATCATATCAATCCATTCAAAACATCTTGAAGTATACCTTTAAATTCTCTCATTTGAAAACATTTTCCATTGCTTTTTGAGTCATCGCTTAAGTAACAGTTCTTGCTCACATATAAACCTTTGATGATCAAGTGGTTTCGAGTTCTAAACCTTTTTTCAAGTCGAACACGATACATTCATTAAATTAATTCATACAATATGTTTAAAAAATACATTCTGATCCAAACAAAAAGAAATACAAAAAAGAAATCAATCAAACATTAAAAATATATAAAGTCAATTCATTATATATATATTTACAAACTTCCTTTTCAAACTTTCTTTTTCTTTTGTCAATCTTCATCACTACTCCAATTTAAATCATGATCATCACCAAAGTTTTGAAATTCCAAACACTCTAATTCTTCTGTTCCATTTTCTTTTAATCTAAACCAACCACCTGATCTAGTGATCACAATGATTTGGTTTTCCAAAATCCAACTAATCAAACTTACATCATCTTCTAAATTTGAAACATGAAACAAATTCGGTAATGATCTAATCGAACTTGATCCTTGATTAATCGTAGGTAATCTGTAATATGCATCTGACCATTTCGAATGAAAGTATTTCGGTAAATAAGGTTTCAACAGTTTCAATGGTAATGGTTTTTTCGATTCAGGATGGGAAGTTGTACTTGTTAATCTGTAGAACCGATAACCAAAGTTTAGTTAGTAAAAACGCAAAACGCAAGAAAATGAAAAATTCAATGGAAATTAGAGAAAAGAATGACTTACGATCGATCGATAGAAGATTGATTCGATTGATTTGAACTTTGACTAGAATTGGTCAGATTCCAAAGATGAATCGTGCCTTTATCACTACTAGCACAGATAGCTGATCCATCAGGTTTAAATCTCAATCCCCAAACCGATGCACCATCAGTTCCACGTCTCAATTCTCTCAATAGTTTACTACTTTTCGAATCCCAAATTCTAATCAATGTACCAGTATTTGAAGCTGTCGCAATCAGATGACCATCAGGTGTGATAGCCAAAGCAGCCAAAGGAGTAGTATGAGCAACTAAAATAGAAGTAGATGGGTAAGGATCTTTTCGAATTTCAGATTTCATCTTGATCGTCTTTGAAGTAGGTCTTGGTATTAAATTAGGATCAAAAGCAGGTAATTGAACAATTTGAACTTGTCCAGTTTGTCGACCTGGAAAAACTAATAAAGTACTACCAATCTCTGTTCCTAAACAGACCAATCCATGAGGATTACTACATGTATCCCATTCACCGACTTCTTCTACTGTTGTGTTGTTTTGAGTATAAAGATTTAACAAAATCAATCGGTTTAGTAAAACTACAATCAATTTATCACGTCTTGCTGTTAGACCTAGAACTTGTGATGAAAATTCGATGGATGAAATCGGTTTTGAGATTGAGATATCATATATGATGACTTTGTTTGGTGAATATAATGGACTCGGTGGTCCTCCAACCAAAAAGATGATATTACTTCGATGAATTGGTAAAACAAATTTTAATGATGCGTTAGGAATCGCTTTACTCAAAAAAACAAAAAAAAACAATCGAAAGGATCAGTTCAAGATTCACTTCTTTATGATTTGATTTTTTATGAAAGGGTTTGATAGAGAGTTTTATTACAAACTATGTTTTTGAATGATTCTAAGTGGATGAATTCCATAAATCGTCCAACCTTCAGTATTAGCAGTTGCAAAGAATTCATCCCAACCTGTTAGATTATCATGACTAGAATCAGATGATTGATGAGTTTTAAGATTTGATGATTTGGTTGATGGTTTGGTTTTGATTCTAGAATTCCGATACTCTGCATCTTCCCATTCATCTTCTTCATGATATTCTTGACGTATTTCAGGTTCTTTCCCTTTCTTCTTTGACGAAGTTGTGATGGTTGATTGATTTGAATTGAGTGAGTTATAAGGCTTGGTAGCCAGACAGACATTCAGAATGTTAGATGGTGGTACATCGGAGAGACTATAGCTGGGTAAGTTCATCTCTTGAAGGATTCGGTTCGGATTAGATACAGTCTATCTGCAATTCTTGATGTTCGATATCGTAGGATGTTCTGAATCTGATGTGGTGTGATAATGATAAGAATGATGGTGGAATTGGTCAAACAATGGTGCCATCATGACTCGAAACTATCCGCAACCGGGCCACAGACACAGCGCCTCGGGCGGATCAGTCAAATTGACATGTACCGTCAATCGTCTTTGGCGTATATTCGGCAGCAAGTTCAATCATCAAGTGTTTGGAAATTCTCCCCCAAAACATTAACATCATCCAAGGCAAGATAGTGTGCCCAGAGCTTTGTTGCATTCAAATAGACATGTCCAAAACCCTCAATAAAGCTGAAGACTTATTCACCATTATCCCACCTGAATCCTTGGTCTCAAATGACAAATTTCTCCAAATGGTAATTTACTCAAGAACTGTAGATCTCACATTGAATGTGATGTATGTGGTATGCAAAGCTAGAGGTAATCCTAGCAATATCAACATTGGCAACAGTGATTGTATTCAACATTATCATTCTATAACTGTTGAAAAAGATAAAGTGCAACAAGCAAAGGAATATGGTGAAGGAAAGTTTTCAATCCTCTCATGTAGTCCTGCCTTAGAATTGGGTCAAAACCAGAATCAAGTGAAGTTGATTGTAATCATGGGTGCCATGGACCCTTCAATATCATATCAGCTGAGTGGAAAAGCAGGATGTGATGGTCATAGTGGTCTAATTGTTTATTTTGTTAGATGCAAGATGCCAAAAAGTCCAAACAATGCTAGTGAAATTGTGACAACCTTAATGACCAATCAAGACCAAATGCATGTGTTTAGGCTCACATCATGTTGTTTAAGAGTGGCTTATGCTGTGAATACTTTGTAAGTCCTTTTTGTCATTCATAATTGAGGTATCAAGCTAAGAAGAAGACACAATTCAATCTTTGCAGAAAATGATGTATTTTGATGACATCAACCAAACCTGGCAATCTAGCAGAGATAGAACATGAGCGCAGTGCAGGAATGCCTGTGTGCCAATGCTCAAACTGCGACCCCAAAGGAGGGGCTCTATTGATTTGCCCCCTACCATATACAAACAAAGCGGATTTAGAAAGTCTACTGAGCTCTAGTTTCACCAAACCTAAAGACAAATCCCTGGCATCACAGGAAGAACAAGAAAGGTAATTAGGAGCAGGAGAGGCCATGTATCCTGAGACATCAGAAGACAAAGCATCAGAAGAGGAAGAGGAAGAAGACAAAAGATCAGATGACAATAAATCATACAACAAATCACCAAAAGAAAAGGTGCAAGCCTCTTGACAAATTTAGAAAGTCTACTGAGCTCTAGTTTCACCAAACCTAAAGACAAATCCCTGGTATCACAGGAAGAACAAGAAAGGTAATTAGGAGCAGGAGAGGCCATGTATCCTGAGACATCAGAAGACAAAGCATCAGAAGAGGAAGAGGAAGAAGACAAAAGATCAGATGACAATAAATCATACAACAAATCACCAAAAGAAAAGGTGCAAGCCTCTTGAAAAAAATAGCTTGGTGGTATACCATTAAAGTAAATATTTCATACAGCTAATTCACTTTGATCAATTGCGTCTAACATCTAACAATCTGTGTTTTCTAGCTTTGATCATTGAGATGGTCTCTCATTTTGAAACCAATTATGAAGGCTAGACTTCAGCTTTCAAATCTCAAGGTCTTCATAATCAATCAGCTTCATTAGGGTTTGGGCAAAAGGCCAACCAAGTTGTAGCCAGAAGTTCTGGTGCCATCAAAGTTGTAGGAATTTGGCTGCTCACATCAAAATAGATGTCACAGATTCACCTGATTCAATCTACTGACCTACCCGGCGGATACCTGTGACAGGAATTAAGCCATCCAAACAAAGAGGCTTTTGAAAAGGCTGCTTGTTTGGCCCAACAAGTGTTTTTAAGCTGGCAGGCGGGTAGGCTCAAGAGGTATGCTGCTCTTATTGTCACACCACACAGCTTTTTTTTCTTCCAAAAGAATGAAAAATAAAAATCACTGGCTTTGATATCATTTGAACAGTGGCTGATATTTAGTCACTTTTGGATTGAATTAAATTTGAACTGCAGCTTGGGACACCAACAAGCAGTGTCCACCCAATCCCCATTGTTGTCACATCTGTACTCAATACCTACCAATTTACATGCTGTGACTTACTTCACAATAATAATATCCTCTGCAATGGGCAAGTACAATGCAATAAGGATTATAGCCCCTCTTTTGTTGTGTGACCGGTTCAAATTTCAAGCCAGTGACTTTCTGCATTGAGGGTGCACTGGCTCTCAGGAGCCGCTTGTTGGGTTGTAAAGGACCAAACCTATATTGCTGTGAGATGCTCTCTGTTGCGCTTATTGTGCCTCCCATGCTCATGCATATGGGAGTATAAACATTGAAAACATGTTGTTTGGGGTGTTTATTGGGGAAGGAATAGTAAACAATATTCAATCAGAAGTGCTATGTAGGATCAGCCTTTGTGAGATAGAAGCTGCAGATACATAGACCAGAGAAGGCAAAATTCTGACAGCTTCAGTAATATAGAGCCTTCAAGTAAAAAAATGTCAGATAATAGATTGAAGTACATATCATGTGGTTCTTACATTCTCCATCTGATGCTGTGGTGAGCTCAGAATGAGCACTTCTCAACTAACCTCAAGAGAGAATGCCAATGGGAGGTGTACACCACAGGGATTCTGTGCTCAAAACTTGTTGATCAGAGAAAGTCATGTAACCATCAAGATTTTGAAATTTAAATCTTTAGACTTCAAAAGTTATCCAGCAAGATCTTTTTGACCAAGCAGTATACATACCATTTCAAACCTTGAAATCCCTTAGAGCATCCACTATGGGTGCGGTAACCAAGAGATTTATCATAGCTTTACCGCTAAGTGACACACAGGTCCACTATGGGCCTGTTTTACACTTGCAGTCCCTACGACGCGTCAAATTTTGCATCGCGCTTGTTCAAATCTACAAAAGTTTAAACCTTGATTTATCGTAGGAACCAGGTAAAGCAGACGGTATATCATCCAATAGTGGATTTCATGCGGTTACCAACTTTGGTAAAACATGCATGATCAAATCTCGCGCTCGGGAACGCAAAATCTGTGATAGATCACCCTCATGATAGTGGGTGCTCTTAAAGGTCTATTTTACTATGTTTGGTTAATTATTCATCAAGAAAGTACAAGGAGGATTGTCTTTTTGAAACAGCTGTGCTATTTTCATCCCATAATTTCTCTCATGTTAACTCTGATTGTTAAATCTGTTCTTATCTGCATCCTCCTGAGGGAATCATTGGCTGATACTGCCTAATTCCCTTGGAGTCACTCTTGAAATCAAATAAACTTCTCTAGCTTCTTAACTTCTGTCAGAATCACATTGAGGTCACTTCTTACTTTAATTCCCTAAGATCCACATCAAGAAAGACGTGAAGGTAATTCTTCTTACTGATGAGGTAATCACCAATCCATACACAGTGTATCTGGAAAGTTCCGGATCACGCAAACAAACCTGAGCGACAATATGTAAGAAAGAAGGTGTCCTGGTCGAGGTGTAAGTGATTGTTCTGATTGACATCTTTGAGACCATATCTCTGCTTCATCTGATAAGTCTTTCTCAACCATCCATGAAAGAAAGAATGTCAGAAACATTCCTTGCGCTTTGTAGCTTTTGACGCTCTAGTGACTGAAACGGCATTTCAACAATTATGATATACTCTGCAACTCCTTTCATCAGTTTTCCTATCTTACTCCCTTGCGGCTATTTCGGATACTTGGTAAGGCAGCGGGTGAAGAAGTCAAGTAGGAAGAAGAAGAGAGTCATTGTAGAAAAGCTTGGGTCAGTACTTTCGACCTCGAGAAGAAATTCCTTGATATGCAATAGACAGACCTCCTCTGCAAGTTGGCATGATAGGTGATCGTCTAATGGCTTTGGAGGTACCACCAAGTGTCTTATGTGAAATCAAGTGAAACTAGGAAAGCAAATGTCTTAATTGCAAAAGGTAGCCTTTGAGTCATCACAGCAACAGTCTACTACTTCCACACGAGCAGAATGTATGTCCAATATCTTCTGATCTCATAGCTTTGTCATCCTATTCCCATAGCAGCATAGTTAGGAATCCTGAGGTGTGTGTTGCGGTTCACCTAACTCAACGTGCCGAGAAAGGCTGAAGTCTCGTTAACATGGAAATTTTTCTGCTTTGACTCCAAGAGCGCCAAGTTCCAACTCAGACTGGTCGATTGACGCACAACACCAGTAACGGTGAAGTCTTTGGGATCACCTCAATGACGGCTAAAGTACCTTAAAGTTACAACCCACAGTCCACATCGTATGAGCCAAGTCAGACATTTTCAGAATGCTTTTCAAAGCTTCGTCTTCATACCTAATCGGAAATTATGTACAAGCAATACTCAAGACTCATATCACGAAGATGCCTTGAGGGTACAATTAGTTCAGCAGTATGTTTGTGTCATTGTTCAAGCATATCTAGCAGTACCACACCCGCGTCATATCTGCAGACATCATATTGGTCCAATTCGCTGTGCCTGAATTTCCAGTAAAGATGGCCGGCAGGTCTTGTAGGCCGGTTGGTTTCTGAATTTCTTAGTCGCTCAATACTTTGGACTAGCTGAGGTCTAAAGGACACAAATCCAGGGATTGGCTACTTTTCCATATATTTAAATGTGGAGTGAATTCAGCGACCTTGAATTCAAATTGGATCTAGATGTAAGCTTTCTTATTCAAGGGCACTCTTGCGATTAAATCACCTAGCAGGGCATTCTCGACTCTCAACTAAAAAAATCTTCACAAAAGAATAAGTTTTTATGCTTCAAAAAAAGATGATAACGATTAACAAAAATGAAAAACAATTGTTTTTTTAAAAAAATTAAATACTTGACAAAGAAAAATATAAATATTAGTGTATGATCAAAAGAAAAGAGAATTGAACAACAAAAATGAGGTTTCAAGGATTAAATACAATTAGAAAATTGGAGATAAGTATTTTGCACAATTTATCAATAAAAAAAATGAGAAAAGTGAAAGAGACACACACACACACACACACAAACACACAAGATAAATAAACTCAATCGATCTGACAAAAATTTTCTTCTTCACTAGTTCGGCAACAGACATATTTATGAATAGGTACCAGAAAAGATGGCTAACAGATTTAAGTGGCTTAAATATATATATATATATATGTACTACTCAGTCAGAAAGAGAATACCGCGGCAAGGAAGAAAGAAACCAGGAACAAGGCCGTATATCTTGAAAGATAATCCACAAAAACCTGAGGGGAAAATAAGGAACAAAGAAGAGAAGCTAATGCTTTTCTAAAATTCCTCTCGTTTTCCCTTCAAATACTCCTTGCTTCTGCTTTCTAACTATCCAAAAGCCAACCAACAACACTTTCACTTTCCCTTAATTCCTCTTCTTCTTCAGTTTCTTTTCGTAATATTTCTAATTCGATTTGTCTTTGTTCTTCTTCAATCGCTTCCATCACTTCTTCGACATTTTTGAATATTCCAATCTTTGCTTTCACTCGGTCCAAAGCTGCAATAGTTCTCATTTCAGCTGACTTCATTTCACCTTCTCGACCTTTTTGAACTTCTTGTTGATTTCTTCCTTCACCAGCTACTCCACTTCCAGATGTTCTCTCCATAGGGTTCAATCCAGCCATGCTTGAAGATCCAACACCTGACGCTGATCGTGGCGATACGATTGATTTCAAATTCTTATGTAAGATAAACGGTGAGCTTTCGCACATGACTTCAGTACCCTCCACTCCTTCTTTCGTCATACCACCAAATTCTTGCCTCACGAGTTCGGATGTGCAAGAAGTACTATTAGTTGAAGAAGAATCTCGACACGAAGAAGTAGAGGTAGGTCCAGCGGTAGTTCCGAGGGAAGGATGGGCAGAGGATAATGATATTCGTCGAGGTCGCTCACTTTTTTCGATCCGATCTGAAGCTTGTCGTAAGGGTGAGATGGGCGAGGCGAGTAAAGCATGAAGAACTGGCGATGGATTCATATATTTAACGGTCTGATTACTAGCTTCAGATGAATTTGAACCAGCCGTGATGGTTCGTTGCTTGACTGTTTGACTTTCGTTTCGACTTAATCCAATAAAAGGGTAGACAAAAGCTTGTTCAAAATCAGTTGGAGGAGTTAAAAGTTCTTGTTGCTGTTGCTGATGTCCTCCATCAGACGTTTCTATCGCTGGAACTTGACGAGCAGACTTGCCATCTTTCGAGATAGGTGAAGTGTCGCAAAGGCTGCCTGTGTGATCGACTGACGATCGGCCAACACTGCTACTACTACTAGCTTTATAATTCTGATCACTTTCGTAGCTTTCGCGGATACTTTTCGCTGACGATGGTAAAGACGGCACAGGAGGTGGCACATCGATGTTCATTTCCCAGCCTGGAGGTGTGATACGATGCGACTGAGTATCCTGATCAGATGACAAATGTGTAGGCGACTTTGACGGCGTGCGCATTTCTCGGATATCAAATGGGCGAATGGGCGTCGAGATGCTATGAGGGACTGCTCTACGAGGCCCATCTTGATGTGATTGATCGAAACCCGTGTTGGGGAATAAAGTCGCAGAACGGGGTCCAGCTTCGACTTTTGTCGCATGAGCATTGGTCGAAATCATTGGCGAGGATTTCTGTGCTCTCAATCTCATCGGCCCATCTACGACCCTAGCAGTCCTCGCTGATCCGGGTTGAGGTCGTGGAAAAATGGCCGAACTCGTATGAGATGGCGTAGGCAAAGACCGGTGAAAGTCTGTGTGGGGTCCTCCAGCTGCCTTTACCCTCGGGTTGATACCACCTATAGCCGACGAAACAAATTGAGGTTGAGAGCTTCGAATGAGCGTTGGTAAGTCATCCCTGCCTTTCAGTTTAGCGAACAACGACTTTAGACCGCGCTTTTGAGGTTTGATAGCTTCATCTGAGATCGCATCGGTTGCCGGCGAATTGTCATTGTCTTCGATCATTGAGTAAGTCGAATTTTGCGATCGGTGGCGCATGTCAAGATTTATTTTATCCGATGCTATTGAAAGACGATCAGGAAGTCAGCGCACATATTCGGAATAGCACCAAAAATATCAAAAAAGTACCTTGAGGCAAGGGTTCGGTCCGCATTTGAGAAATCGCCACAGATGAGTACAGAAGGGAACTGGGTTGACTTATTTGCTTCAGGTTGATCGACGAATCACCTGAGCGTTTCTTATTACCACTCGTATTTGCCTTCTTCATGGAGAAGGACGTCAAGGGCTTCTTGGATCTCAGTAACGATTGCGTCGATGGGGCTGGAGAATCCGTGAGCAAGGACGAAACCGATGGCGGCGAAGTGAGCGAGGCTTTGGTCCGGGTGACCCATGGCGGATCAATCTTTAATGCTTCCACCAAACTCGTCATGTTACCTGGCCGGGCTAAATTATCGTCATCATCATCCTCAAATACACTTTGTTGACTCTCCCCGTCCTGAGCCTCGTCAGCTTCAGTTAATCTCTCAAAAGGCTTTGTGCCCTCGGTGGCCGAGCTACTGAGATGGTGTCGATGCTCAGGTTTTACGGCATGGGGGCGAGCCTGTTGCTCTGAGACTCGTTTACGATGTTGCGGTAAACGTTCGGTTCGAGGTTGGAGTGGCTTGGTTGGGGAGGTCGATGGTCGAGTGACTAAAGTTTCGGTAGCATTGCTACTATTATTAGGGTTCCATTCAGTTTTGTGATCGGTTGTTGATTGCTAGGTTTGCAAGACGAAAATCAAATTAGTATCAGGCGGAGAAATATTTGGCCAATCGAAATATATACAAACATTCTTGTCCGCAGGAAAGCGAAATCGGCTCGGAGTCAATGACATTTTCATCGTTCGTTCAGAAGTTATCAATTGGTCGAATGTATCCCCGGGTCGGTCGAGCGTCTCCTCCGAATTCTAGTAGAGAACCGATTTTTGGACACGTGAGCAATTGGGCACATAAAGATATAAAGAATAGTAGAACGCACAGCGCTATCGGCGGAAGGATCAATATTGAATGATCGAAACTGATCCTGAGGGCTCATAGTAAGAAATTCCTAGAAAAAAAGCATAATAGCATTGAAGATCATATATGTGGCGCAAGGATCAACACGAAGAAACTTACCCGTCGATCGTGGTCAGTATCTTCATAGAGGGAAGATGGGGTGGAAGGGATCGGGTGCTTGGACGCTTCGAATACTGGGCTGGTAGTTGAATGATGTCTACTCGTATGGCCACTGCCTGCCGTTCGACTTCTCGACCTTGCTACCCGACTAGAGCTACTCGATTGACCTTGAATTATTGCCTTCATGTTGGAGAATGAAGCTTGGCCAGTGAGCCTTCTAGATTGTTGTGAGGATGCGACAGAGGAGCGGGAGGTCGAAGACATCGAGCGCGCTGCCGCATGACCGCTTACAGGAGATACGACCGCCTGAGAATCCGAGTGGCCGTGGTTAGATGCGGAGGAGAGAGACCATTTCTTGGCATGATCAGAAGTCTCTCGGGAAATTGCCGAGGACGATCGATCTTTACTACGCTTTCCAAACGATGGCGTTCGCTTAAGTGTAGCTCCTGGTAGCAATTCCGGGGCGTCTGGGTTCACAATGCCCACTGTTACAAGAGCAGGACTACCGGTTGCCTGAGGATCACGGGGGCTAAGTTGGGTATAATGAGAGGAAGATTGGCTGGTATTACGACTATTCGGTTTGCGCTGAGCCGGATGATGATAGACTGCAGCACTGAATGAGTTCACAGGGCTTGGAGCATGGTGTGATGTGGTGGAGGGAGACGAGATAGAACTTGATGATAAATGATTCGAAGTTGAGCGATGGGTCTCGATCGATTGAGCGCGGTTAGATTGATCATGAGACTTGCGAGGGGGGCGCGATTGAGATCGAGAAACTGTTGACCGTTGGAGCGCAGAGATATAAAGATGATGATTTGTGAACAGATAGGCGTAGTGGCTGGGATGTGCGGCATTTGCTGAACGACTAGCGCCAATCCCGAGGCCCACCTTGTCAACAGTGTCAGGAGAGATGCGGCCAAAGGACCCAGTCCGATGATGATAAGATCCGCCACTGGTCGCGGCGACCATGCGATCGATACAGGCTTTGGTTCGGGTGAGCTCGAATAGGTCCCAGAAACCAGTCATGAGTTCATCTTCACCGATGAAGACGAGCAAGTCATGTGGCCTCACAGACATCCGAGACGGATCGCGTTCGACGACCGTTGCAACACCCTTCAAGAGATAAGTCGCAAGCGATTGAACCAAACCAACAAAGTAAACCATGATTCGTGCGTCAAGCACCGTACTAGCGCACTTTCGACCCATTCCTCCTCGTAACGCATCGAGTTCCAAGCTCGGATAAGAGTATAAAGCTCTATACGCTCGAAGTTGAGCCTCGAAGCCCATCGGGTTCAACATAAGTGGAATAGAGTGATTGACTAGATTGACAAGCTGGTTATAACCGGGGCCTTTAATCTCACCCACGATGCCATCGTCATTCGGAGTTCGCTTGTGATCAGTATGAGCTGAGCTACGATTTGAAGTCGCCTGATCACCAGCGAAGGGAGAAAAAATTTCACATTGGATCCGAAGTTGATGAAAGAGTTCAAGGGTGGATATTTCGCTAGTGGTGTCATCAAACTCCTGATCAATGAAATCAGCCAGCCTTTTTTGTAACTCGAGCAAACCGACCTCCGCCTCTAAGATTGCATCGCGACCGATACTCTGAGGTAGGACTTTAGAGATGCCATAGGTTTTCAAGAAGCTGGTATTGATGGGTAAAGTGATTTTACAGCCGGAGCGCCGATCTGGAGAGTCAGGATGCTCGGTTGGAGATGAGGACGAAGCGAGAGACTGAGGTTCATTTGTAGAGGTGTCATGAGATCGTGCATAAGTTAATTTGATTTTCTCTGATTCAGTGAGTTCTTGATGTTGGGCTAAAGACTCGAGGACAAGCCATATCAACTCGTCAATCAGGGTATTGAAGACATATAGACAAGAGTGAGTTGGTCGGAGGGGGCGGATATCCGAAAGAAGTTGAGCTGCTGGTCCATAATGGATATAACAAGGTGCCTCAAATTCTGTTAAAATTTGATTGACGAGCAAAGGTTAGAGAGCGCGAAATCAAATTCAGAAAAGAAAAATATGCTCAACTGGACATAGTAAGTCAAAGTCTGACCCAAGGTCAGTAAGAGAATTACGGAGTGGAGGATCAAAGCTGGGTCTGGTTTCCAGGAAGCGTCCACCAAGATGTCAAGAAGATCGTGCGCCAAGGAGGTGAGATTTCTTCCTGATTTACGTACACGCAAGCAAAAGTCAAGGATGAGGATAGTTGTGAATCGAAAGAAACAAAGATAAAGTTTGTGAGGGAGCGTGTCAGAAGAAGTTCAAGAACAAAGGAATGGACAAGAAATCAACAACAGGCAGGATAGCTGATAAGTAAGCCACAACAAAAACTATTTGCACCACTAGACTGCTAGAGTAAAATTCAATATTCAAAAAAAAGGAAGGTAGAACGGAAAAAAGCTAGGGCAAGACAAGAGCAGCAGTTGTGCTGGGAGGCAAAGAGCAAGAGGCGATCACGGTTGAGACCAGAGCCGGCAAATCAGAGACACATAGCTCGACTTGCTTGAAAAAACTTCATGCGTGACTCTTGAGTTGCGAAGATAGTCGAACGTGAGGAGTGAGCGTAGAAACACACAGACCTACACACGAGCAATGGGGAAATCAACTGTAAAGTATCTTGAGGGTATACCACCTGGTGGACAAGAAGCCAAAGGACAAAAGCCGAAGGAAGGCACCAACTGATTGAAATGATTGAAAACAAGCGAAGGGTGAAAGATGTATAGTTGTTCAGGAGAAGGTGGAGTGGGATAATGCTAGTTGAGTAGCCGTACGGTGTACCACAATTGTGTTTTCACAATGTTTGTTATCAAGCATACACTACACAGAGGGAGATCACTTGGCCCTCCTATGAGGCGAGATAGCTAGGTTCCTGCGCTACCTTTATGCTTTGGCGGCGTCAAGGCGCGCGCATGCCAATTGACGAAAGAATTGACTGGATAGGAAAGATAGAGAAGAAGCGGGAAGAAGGCTGAGAAAAGATGTAGGACTCAACCGTATGGTATTTTATAAAATCGTACCCTGACCAAGATGGTGATAGAAGCTGGATACCAAGGTGAATTTCCAACCTGAGCAATGGGTCTACATACACACGTGGAAGACCAGCAAGGTCGTTTTGTCAATATCAGAGATGAGAGGAAGTCAAACAAGTCGAATTCAATCAAGTTTGACCTTCAACCGTCAAAGCACGACCTGCGCTGCAAAAAGGAAGTGTATCAGAGTGGATCGATCCTGATGAGGAAGAATCCATGAAGTGGAGAACGAAGGATGAATGATAAGATAGTCAGTCAAGATGGTACAGACACAATCTTAAGCTAACTTCAGCCACTGCTCTGGAGAAACTTTGACGCCGAGGACGTTAGTTCCTGTATAGCACTCACCTAGTGACTTCTAGGCAAAAGTCTATGTAACGATGTACACCAAGGAGAAGGATTATAAGGTCTTCAATGATCTGTGGTCTTCCCGAACTCAACCTCCGAACCGATTGATATCGGTGAAACAGACCGATTAAATTTCGAGGAACGAGAGCAGATGATGTGGAGTTGCTACTCTGTTGATCTAGCCCGATGGGTATAGGAATCCCAACTGCAAGGATGATAAAAAGGATGATGATCTGAATGACTCAAGACGTGGCTGCAATGAAGAATATGCTTCTTCTTTTATGTAAGAACAAAGTCGGGGTTGATCTGTCTCGATGAAATTGTGTGGCTGCTTAAGCTGCTGATTGCTGAACCTGCATCCGCGGGCGCCACCGGGAATAAAAGATTGAAGGGAATGAAATTTGGACCTATGCAAAGAGACCGCTTGAGCTTGCGTGATTCAAAGAAAAGCACGCGTTAAGAAAGAAGCGATTAGCGAGGTTGAATTCAAGTTATGAAAGACGTCATATCTATGTATGTATTCTGAGTTGAGAGGGCACCCAAGAACAGAAAACCTCAGAGAGCAGAGATCTCAGATTTGGACCGATCTTATGTACCAGAACTTTGAAATGGAAAAGAAAGGACAAAATATTGAATATCTATCAAGTAAGAAAAGACTCACTCAAATCAAGGATATCAAGAGAGTAAGAAAATTTAGATAGAAAGGAAAAATCGATTATATGTAAGAGATCGTGATGGTTTGTAAAAAAAAAGATTGGTGTTGTTCAGATCAGTGAAGTGAGATGTTCCTGATGACTGGTTCAGCTTTTGGATTTTCTGATCTGCTTTGGAGGATTATCAGACCCGAAGACTGCCGGGCGAGGAAGAGATGTAGAAAGTATGTAATTGATTATCACAGCTTACAAGGAGGCAAACGGTTCAATGGAGCATTTCTCTTTGTTCTTGTGAAGAATATTGAATATGAATTGAAGAGCATAATAGCAAATTGAGGCGAGAAGATAGCAAGTTTGGGAAAGAGTTGCAACTGATTTCACAACGTCGCTCTAAGTTGTCCTGCCAAACTCGAGTGGATTGAGGCAGATCTGGGCCAAAGTTTGTAGGTTTGACTATAGTCCGGTAAACAATCACTAATGATGGAGTATGTGCGCTATTATATGGTAAGGAGAGAAGAACAAATGGTATCTAGATTGTCAGACGGTTGCTTGGGGTTGGGTGATAGGCGGGGTGAGGTTGTAAGAGGATGTTGAAGTAACTGATGGTGTAGATAGGGGTTGAGTTATGACTGATGACCGAATGAATGTTATCGACAGACAAAAGTATACAAACTGATTTGTTTATTTGAAGACTTGGTAGCGCAGCCAAGTATCCTTCTAGTTTTTAATCGTGACCACGTCTTGCGTTGTTGTTGATGATTTGGTGCACCAAGCGAATTCACAAAGTGCAAAGCTATATTTTCTTCCGCAATCGAGCTTACAAACCCAACCACACAAGACCAAGTTAGCGTGCGAACAAAGGAGCGTATACAGAGTCAGAGCGCGTTAAGAAAACTGTTGTGAAGAAGGATAAACTTCAGAAAAGAATGAGAAAGGGGAATGAAGAATGACGGTTGAAAGGAGAAGAAACAAACTACAGGAAGTGAAGTTGAAGTTAACAAGCAATTGAAAGATTTAACGAATATATATGTACATGGAAAGATGAGTCATTCACGGAAAAGCAATTATGTACGCCGTGCCCGTTAGTAAAGTGATTGCTTGCGAGTGATTTGAAAGGGTTTGAAAGGATGAGTGTCAAATCCTATGGACTCATGGGAGGCTTTATAAAGAGAAACTGGACACAGCCAAAGAGTTAATAATTAGCGCACCCATATAAAGAATAGAGATCAACACGCAACAACATATCAAATGATAAAAGAACGAAAACATATCAAACAACCACAACAATAAGATTACACTAGGTAAAGTCGTGGAAACACAAAACTCTATTCGCTGACAACTAAACAGGAAAGAATGAGTGGTGCACATCCACTGATATTTTTTCAAACCTTGTGACCGAACCAAAAGGAAGACCACGAAGGACCAGATGAAATAGGCTCAAGGGATATGATATCTAATAGTTCGGATGAGGGATGAGACATGAAAGATGAATCGAGATTCACAAACAAAAAAACCATCGATTCCTGCTCATGTTGTGAAGAAAATGGTTTTGACGTTTGAAAAACCTGATAGATATGCAATCTGTTATCTATTCACTCCACTTGACCACTTTTCTTATCTGATATGTATGTAACTGGAAAAGTGATTCACATTTGTCATTACGCTCACTAATGATTGTTGATCAATACCTCAACCCACTGATTGGAATTATTCACAAGACTTGGTAAACAGCTTCGAATCAGTGCAGATTGTTATAGCATTATTTCAATGACAAACCTACAATGTGATATATGTTCAGATGGAATTCTTCATAGGGGAAGATGGATGAAAGATACATTTCTCAAAAGGAGAAAAGTGTATATCCAAAAGACAAATTAATTGGAAGTCTCAAATAGATATATTCTTTTTAGTAATGAATGTCTATGTACTGTCTACTTTTGAGATGGAAAAACAATCAAAAGAAAAGAAAAGAAAAACCAGGGGTTGTCATGAGGTATTATCGGTTTCCGATTTGATTCAAGGGAGAGAAAATCGTTTTCAAGATTCTTAAACAAAGGAAGAGTGAGAATGTGTGATGACGAGAATTGAAGATAGGAAGAAAGGAAATTCAACCGAGAGTTGTTGATTGGATTTTCCAAGCTTGCTTCCTTCCTTTATGAAGAGATGTCAATTGTTTTACCATCGACTTTAACTACTAATTTTCCTCCTTTGAGACCATTGATAGAGACATCAAGATTTTGACCTTCCCATTTTAATCCAAAACCTATAGTAATTTGATGATCTTCGATTGACCAACCTCCACCAATAGCAGCAGTTCCATCTTTTTCACTACCAGCATTGAAACCCCCACCAATAAAACCTATCATTCAAAGAGAGAGAGAAAAGATATTAGATTCGTTGATTTGCATATTCGAGATGAGTTATTGGAAGAAATCTTACTTGGATGCCAATTTATACCCGCTCCTGCTCCACTACCGAAGGGTAGTTTAGATGCTCCCCATGATAGACTTCCAGTTTTGGTTTCTCTATCAACAGTAGCTACTTTACTGATATTATAAAATCGAATCAATTCGGGTGATGGATCAGCTGGAAGAGTCATCTCGGTTTTGGTAGCTTGGAACCCAGTGATATAGAAAGATAGGAGAAGGACGATTGGATAGGTGAGTTTGAAGATCATTTTGTAGTCCGTTGATGAGTGAGATTTGTAGCCTTATACTAATAGATGGTATCCCGAAAATGTGATGATGAGTTTGCAGAGTGAGATCAACTGGAGGGATTAAGTGAAATCTTGTAGAGGTCTCCAGTGAAGTCTTCGTTGAAGGTTGAAGGCACAAGGAGAAAGTTATTTATATCTTATCCCAATTCGGAGCGATCTGAAAGGGGGTGGGAAAAAGACAATCTGAACAGATTTGAGCGACTCCGGAATTGTGGCTATGACATTTTGAGGCTGTGGGCTTGGCAGGCTTTCCTCCATAAAGAAGGAACGCCGCAAGAAGGGTTTTACCAACTTCCATGTTTTGGAGCTTCACAACCACACCAGCTTGAGTCCTCAGCCTGAGCTCCGAGTGACCTACCCGGTCAAGGACCCCGATGGGGAGCCCCGCGAGCTGGGAGTCGGGCGTGTAATCTAATATATACAGCCATTCCAAGAAAGGTTGACAACTGTTTTTTGGAGAAAGTTGTCTCCGCAGCGGCTAAAACCAAAGACAAAACTTGATTACAGGTTTATCATTTCCTGTATTCTTCCAATTAGCGGAGAGACAAAATCAAGTGAGGGACAAAACCCGGGTTTTGCACATTGGTGAGATTTTCAAAAAAATCAATCTTTGTTGGAACAGCTGTAAATACGAAGAACAGACTCGCATATGTGAGTACCGTCCAGTCCTGTTGCGCTTCGGTCAATTTTGCATCATGATCAGTGAACTTTTGATACTTTTTCACACTACACAAAATGTCATCTTTACCGGGCGGTAAAGAAAACTACTGACATAGAAAAGTCCTGAGGCAACAGGAAGAGAGCTAAAAATCTGAAAAAATATGCACCTTGTTCCTAGATGTTGGGGCGGCATCATGACGAGTATTTTTTTGTATTTTACACACAGATATTGGTTAATGTACTAACAATAAAGGCTGAGAATCATCAAAAACCCACCTGTAACAATACCTGAAATTTGGCCCTTGACTTTGAAGACAGGATTTTGGAATCTTCAAACATCAATAACTTTTGCAGTTCTGAATCAAATCACCCGATTTGCAGTGCATTAAAAAGGTGAGCCTTTCCTCTACATTTTTTATTGTAACATCACATCTGTAGCTGGTCTAAAAAAGATCCTACAGAGCTATTCATGCAGAACTGTTTGAACATATGTAGAGTGTTTAAATAACTAGATAGCACCTTACTAACATTATGAAGTGTGAAGAGGAATAGTTCAGCTTTTGAATGAACCAAAAATCGAGTTATTTGGAGCAGAATTGCAAAAGTTATTGAAGTTTTTAGACCACAAAATATTGTCTTCATACTCATGACTCAAATTTCAGGTATTGTTACATGTGAGTTTTTGATGATTTTCAGCGTTTATTGTTAGTACATAAACCAATATCTGCGTGTAAAATACAAAAAATACTCATCATGACGCCCCAACATCTGGGGACAAGGTGCATATTTTTTCAGATTTTTAGCTCTCTTCCTGTTGCCTCAGGACTTTTCTATGTCAGTAGTTTTCTTTACCGCCCGGTAAAGATTACATTTGGTGTAGTGTCAAGTTCAATCCATTGTTGTATTCTCTACGCAATCACAGACTGCTTTGTTAGTGCGCAACTGTGCCTTTCTCTCACCTTGTGGAAAGAACCTGAAAGAACCCATTTGACTTTTCCGGATTGGCTTTTGACCCCTTACGTTAGATTCTCACTTTTCTATTCTGATTGTTCTCAATCTTCTGTTTTTGTTTGCATGTGATCGTAAAATTACAATTCTTTTGTTTTGATTGTACAATTACAATTCTCTTCTTTGTGTTACCTGTGACACATTTGTTTGTGTGACCGGCAACGCTTTTATTTGGGTGAACCAGGGATGCAGGAGTGAGTCTACTCAGACTCACCTGCTCGGTGCAAACCCCGCGGGACTCAATTTGAGTACTGATGGAGACAGCAAAAGTGAGAGTACAGTACTCTTCCTCAATTTTGGCGTAGAGTACGCCTTGAGGAGGGTACCCAATATGGACCCCTCCGCAAGTACTAAGTCTTGTGAGTCTACTCACATGTGAGTAGAGCACATCCATACAGCTCGCAATTGCTCACCACTCATGAATACACTCACTGTGGTTGGTAATTTCCTTTTTTGTGGGACATGATTGCAATCAAGACAAAAAGTTTTTCTTTCCTTTTACTTGACTCTTCAACTAAGTGAACAATGAGGATGACATGTATGAGGATAGTTGACATCTTGTCATCTAATCCATTACTTTCATTTCTAATCACTCTGGTTTCAAAAACCCCAGTTTTTCTTGATCCTTCAAACGACTCAACCAAACCAACTTCAACCCAAAAGCTACCACCGTTACTACTATTAGGTTTTTGATCATCTTGTTTATGATATTTTAAATGTCCATCGGGTTTGATAGAAGGTGCAATTGAGAGTTGATCTTCATTTTGATGATTTGTTGAAAGAAGTTGAAATTGAACATCTGAAAATCTCAATAAAACTCCTGCTAATTCAGATACAATATGTTTTCAACTACCTACAAGCAAGGCCGCCACAAATACGGTACTGGTATCGTACCAGCGATACCAGTACCGTACTCGCACTCACAATACTCATATCTCTAGTATCGGATATTGTACCTGAGCCCCGGTACGATACTAAGAACCGTACCAAAGCTCACGATACCCAAATTTCCTAGGCAGGGGTGCCGCACCGTTATATACAAAACGGTACGGTACTATACCGTACCGTGAGATACGGCGACGATACGGTATAGTATTGCACTGTGACAAAAAATCTCACAAGAGGCACCGTACCGTAATTTTGACAAACCTGACATGTATTTCAAGAAGGAGGACTGAAATAGAACCAAAGGAAAGATAGAAAGAAAAGGACAAAAACAAACAAATTCCACCTAGACATTTCACTTTCTTCTTTCTCGCGCACCCTGGTCTTTTGAAATACAATCCGTCATCATTTCTTGCGCGATTTCAAACTTCCCTTTCATCTTAACCCCTTGTACAGACCACAAAAGAGCCGACTGTGCGCTCGATTGTTCGTGGCTTCAGAGCCATCCTATCCTGTGAGCACACATCAGCTGACAATGAGAATGCTCGCTCAACCGGGCATGCAGTGGCACTGATAGCCAGGTAGTCGCGTGCAAGCGAGCTTAACACTGGGTATTTGCCCTCATTCAGCTACATCAATTAGATATTAGATCAATCAATATACAAATTGGATGAGAGAAGTAAAGAAATAAACTCACATGCCACCATTTCAAAGCCAAATGAGGGTTCTCGGCCACCTCAGGTGCAGGATCCTCGGCCATCTCTAAGTAAGATCGAAGTTCGTCAGCCGTGTTTTGACGGTTCCGTTCCTTGTGCTTGCGAAACTCTTCATCCTCGTCATTCAACTTCTTGCTTTGACCCCCAGGATTAGCCAATCCTGCATTATTATCAACTCCATCCTTAACCATTACCGCCTTTCGTTGGGCGTACTCTGAAAGAATAAGTTGTTTTGCCATAGATGACTCTTTGGAATCGATTCCAAAAGCAAAGTCAAAGTAATCCAAGCGCAAGCTTGGATGCAATACGGTTGCAAGGATGAGTATATTCGATTGCATTGCTTCGTTGAGGTATGACTTGACTCGCACCAGCATGGCCTGGTGCATAGGGAAAAGGGGATCCGCTCGCGATCTTGTGGCGTCGATCTTCTTTTGAAGCAACTTCATCAGCTTGACGTACTCACGAATCGCTATCGAGGCAGTGGGTCCGTCTTGTTCAAAAAATTTGGTCAGGTTTTCAAACTCCTACAAAAAAAGAATACAAAATAAAGTAAACAAATGTAAACGAGAATAAACAGGAAATAATGACTCACCTGAAGGAGTTCCATGATGTCCCTCACTTGTCTCCATTCATCAGGTGAAATCATCACTTTGTTGAATATGCCACGAGGTCGATTGATGTCAGGAGGTAACACGGTCTCACCAGCTCGACTGGTTTGACCTCGACGAGGTTGGTCCATCTGGTCCTCTTTCAAAATTTGATCGATGACCTAAGACAATATTTGAGAAGTTGATATATGAGATTTTGAGAAAGAAGAGTTATAATATATATAAGTACTTACTTCACGGGCATTATATAATCGAGTCCAACACTGGAGTTTGATATTCCATCGAATACCATAACCAGGGATTGGACGTGGAAGTTTTTGTTTTAAAAGTGCCATGCTGATGGCATCAAAGAGCATACACATCACGGCTGAACCTCCAATTTTACGCCCTACCACATCAAGCTATGGAGCCCCAGGTCAGTCTCACGTAACAATGATACACGTGATACATATATTGTTTCATCCACTTACTTTGGTTGTGAGTAAGTGGACGGCATTGGCTGCGGTCCTGTCCGTCGCAGATACTTCTTCTGCATCATACGGGCCATCAACCACCTCATACCAGTTAGAAGCCTCTTGAGGTACCGTCATGTCACCATCGTCAACTTCGCCGTCAGATTTGGAGTCGTCATCAGGAATTCGGTCACCCTCGCCCTCGTCTTCTTCGATAATAGTCTGTAGCGTGGTTGTTGGAACAGGAAAATCACCCAGCATGGATGATTTGACCAGAGGAGGAGGTGGACCCTGGATTCCAAGCGCTTGGAGACCGGCATTTACAATTAAAGCCAATTTGTGACATACACACCTTACCCTATCGGTCGAAGCGCTCCAATCAAAGGCTTCATGATGGTCCTGACAGTGCTTGGTTAACCTGACTTCCATCGCTTGGGCCAGCGTGTTGTTATTGCTGCCGGAATCGTGGGTTTGAGCTAGCATGTGGATATATGCAAAACAAAAAATTAATGACACATACACAATAAAATATAAATCGACCAATTGCAAAGGGAAAACACTCATCTTAGTATGTAGGCCGTGTTTGATCAAAAGATTAATTAATGGTTCAGCAAGCCATTCGCCTTTGTGGT